TGTATTACCTAAACTGGATCATGAGGAAACATTAGATTAATGCAAACTGAGATACATTCTGTTAAGTAAAAGGATAATTTTTTAAGTGCCTAGATCATGACAGTCATAGAAAGAGTAATCTTCTGGTTCAGATTAAAGGAGACAAAGTGATAAATGATGAATAAAATATAAGATTTATTCTAAATCTGACCAATTAGATTTAGAATGAAGCCATTATTCAAAGAATTGATAAAATTTGAGTGGGGTCCATAAATTAAGTGGTAACAATATATCCATGTTAATTTGCTTGTTTCAGTGGTTAGATGGTGGTTATTTAGGAAAATGTTCTCATTCATATGATACACTCAAGTATTGGGGCACCAAGTCAACAAAGGAGTTTGGGGGGGGAAATAGCTAAGTGCTATACTTGCAAATGTTCTGTTAGTTTGAGAGTGTTTAGAAGTAAAAAACAAAACAACAACACTTAACTACTACAGAAAGTATACACTAAAAAATAAAATTAAAGAAAACCTAAAATTATAGAAAGCAGAATTTAAATCTGTGAATATTCCAGTGAACATCTACAATTTTAGAAAGGCTTATTACTAAAGAGATTCTTCTTGGTGGAAGGACATATATGATGTAAAAATGCAAGTAGGAGACATGCCCTTAAAAATAATTGTGAATTGTATTCAAGAATAACTGTGTCTGGGTAGATATAAATAGTTAAAATGCTAACACTTTCATTGAAAAAAAAAATACAAGCAGGAAATGAGTACTGGTACACATGCCATTCTGTGGATAGAATGCGTTGTAGCAGAAATGACTATTGAAAAACAGAATTTGTGATGTGGGAGAAAGGGATTAATATAGAGAACTATTACAGATGAAAAGGCATAAACCACAAAGACACTGGAAGGCAAACAATGTTATTTCTAGATAAAGGCCATTGGAGATAGAATGAAAAAATGCAGTCAGTGTTTGGAGGAAGACATAATCAAGTAAATTGCCAGCTGAATACTTTCTGCCTGGATCCAAATTGGACTCAAGGGTTATCAAAGATCAACTGAGGGCCCAAACACGAGGGCCAAAGGAAAGAAGTAAAACCCAGGAAAAGCTGGTACAGTAGTCTAGTGAAATAATATTTTATCATCTATAGATGTACTTTTATAGGCTTCTAATACCAAATGACTCCTGGACGCTTCTATTTCAAGAGAGTGATTAAACAGTTTTCTTTCACTCTGAAGACATAAAAATTTTATTAGCAAATAAAAATGAAACAAACATCAAGTACTAAAGAGCATGGGAGGAAATTCATCTTCAGCTAAATGACAAAATATAAAGGGAAGAAGAAAACAGAGCAAAGCCTAAAATAAATGCAGGTTAGGACTACATGGAGAAGGGAGCTAATTTGCTAAGAATGACCCAGTGATCTTGATTTTTTTTTTCTCTGACTTATTTCACTTAGCATGGTATTCTCAACATCCATTTATGTTGTCAAAAATGGCAGTATTTCATCTTTTCTTACGGCTGTATAGTACTCCATTGTCTATAATGTGCCACATATCCTCTATCTGATATATTGACAAGCACTTAGGTTGCTTCCATGTTTACTATTAATAATGCTGCAGTGAACATAGAGGTGCATATCTTTGTGAATAAATATTTTCAAAAAATTTTAGGTGGAAATAGGCAGGCAGAAAAACAATCAAGAAGCATGATTTCACTTATATGTGGGATATGACTGAAAGCAAGAAGTGAACAAACAAGGCAAATCAACAAACAGAGACTCATAGATACAGACAGTAGTATAGTGGTCACCAAAGGGAAGGGGGAGGGAAAAAGTAAGGGTAAAAGGGACAAATATATGCTGACAGAAGAAGACTGATTTCAGGTGGTGGGCATACAATGCAATATACAGATAATGTATCATAGAATTGTATACTTGAAACCTATATAATTTTATTAACCACTATCGCACCAATAAGTTTACTAATAAAAAGAATGACCCAGGGAGGCACAAAGCTTAAGGTCATCTACAGGAAAGGAGGTGAGAAGCTGGAAGGGCCTGTAGAGAGAAATCACAGGCACCTGTCTCAGAAAGCTCTCCTACTCCCATCCATATTCCTGTAGGTCAGGGGTAGGCCTAAGGTTTAGCCCTATAGCATTTTTGAAGGAATGGAAATAACTTTTTGGTTTTAGTTTTGCAAACATAGTTTATTAAGGTAATTGGAAATAGTATGATTCTGTTAATGAGTGCTCAATTTTTGTCTTCTTTTTCTAACATTATTGAGATACTAGAGGCCCAGTGCATGAATTCATGCACAGGTGGGGTCCCTCAGCCTGGCCAGCGATCAGGCCAATCTTGCCCAGTTCTGATTGGAGCCAATCATGGCTGGCCTGGGGGAGGGACCACAGGAGTTTGGCTATGGGAGTACACTGATGACCAGTGGGCTGCTCCTGCATTGAGCATCTGCCTCCTGGTGGTCAGTGCATGTCATAGTGACTGGTCAACAGGTCGTTCTGGTGGTTTGGTAGTAATGGTCACTTAGGCTTTTATATATACAGATAATTAACATATAACATTGTGCAACTTTAAGGTACACAATGTGTTGATTTGATTCACTTTCATATCACAGTATGATTACATCATAACATTAGCAAACAGCTCCATCACAGCATATAATTACTTCCTCTTTTTTTGTAGTGAGAATATTTAATCTCCTCTTTTAGCAACTTGCAAGTATATAATGCAGGGTTATTAACTGTAGTCTCAGTGCTGTGCCTTAGATCCTTAGAACTTAGTCATCTTCTGTTTGTAAGTTAAAAAAAAAAAAAAAAAAAGGGAGGGGAAATAACTTTTTTGATTGGGGAAAACATGCTCCATGACAATACTCAAAACTAAAGCCTTTTCTGTGTTGGCATCTGGAGGAGCTCAGACCATAGCCTCATCAGCACTCAGCACTCACTGAGAGCAGAGCACTGGCCAGGGTAATGATGTCTCTGTCAGATTTTCCTTTCCAGAGAGAAAACTCCCTCCCTAGACACACACACACACACACACACACACACACACACAGAGAGAGAGAGAGAGAGAGAGAGAGAGAGAGAGAGAGAGAGAGAGAGAGAGAGACTAAACCTGTGTTAGCACCCTGCACATCAACTCAATCTTTCCTTGAACTACACATTGTTTTCCTTAAATGCTCTATAATAAAACTAGGGGCTTAAAGAGAGCTAAGATGAATTAACATAATTGTTCCTGCAGAAAGAAAAGAGATGATTGTGCAGAAAAAGGAAACAGAAAAGGTGAAATTTAAGACATTAAATTAGCAAGTCTACTTAGTGCAAATGCATCTCATAATGCCTTGTTTGTAAAAGTCCCAGAAGCAATCAAACATATTTCACCAGAAATTAACCAATTTTACTTTTGGAGTGTTTACTTCAAAGAAGTAGACCTGTGCATAAAGATTGTCAAGGCAAGGAGCTGCTGCTTTTCATCATTAATATCTTTAGATAATTTCATGTTTACCATGTTCAGGTACATGGTTTTCACTATTTTCATAAATAAAACAAACAACTAAGCATAGAAAATAGTATCTGCCTAGCAACCTGTGATATCACCTCCATGACTTCAAGGAAATGGTTTAGAATAAAGAGGACTGTGAAGAGACCATAATACAATTACAGAATTAAAATGCTCCTCAAGCCGGCACTGGTTTGGCTCAGTGGATAGAGCGTCGGCCTGCGGACTGAAAGGTCTCCGGTTCGATTCCGGTCAAGGACATGTACCTTGGTTGTGGGCACATCCCCAGTAGAGGGTGTGCAAGAGGCAGCTGATCGATGACTCTCTCTCTTCGATGTTTCTAACTCTGATCCCTCTCTCTTCCTCTCTGTGAAAAATCAATAAAAAATATATATTTTTTAAAAATGCTCCTCAACATTCCCAAAGAATACAGAGGACACTGTGTCATGTACAAGAGTGACTTAGAGGACAAATCTAAACAATTCTCCTTAAATCTAGAGGAAACAAATAAGAGTGAAGGACATAAGTGGGAGAATGTTTGAGCGATATGATAGAAGAAATCAGATTTTTTTTTTTTTGTAAAGAGAGAGAGAGAATTGTTTTTAGAGAATGACACAATACCAGCATAAGCAGTAATAGTAAAGACAAATTTAAATAAGAGGATACTGCTTTTGTAAAATATCCTCATAATCCTGAAATTTCTCATTTTTATTTGAATATGATGTCCTTTAAAACTCTTTCCTATAGCCGAAACCCATTTGGTTCAGTGGATAGAGCGTCGGCCTGTGGACTGAAGGTTCCAGGTTTGATTCCGGTCATGGACATGTACCTTGGTTGTGGGCACATCCCCAATACAGGGTGTGCAAGAGGCAGCTGATTGATGTTTCTAACTCTCTATCCCTCTCTCTCTCTTCCTCTCTGTAAAAACTCAATAAAATATATATTTTTTAAAAAAACACAACTTTTTCCTATAAATTTAGGTAAAACATTTGGTAGGTAGAATAATTTTTTAAATGCTATCAATGGTTTTAATTATCCAGACCCTTACCCAGTACATAAATTCAACAATGATACAGTTCTCCACGATATAGAAAATCCTGCTGTGGAAGATTTAAAATATGGGAGGTTTATCGTCAGCTCTAAGGGAGCTTCTATTCCAGTTAGTGAGACTATTCTATTGTAGTTGGTGAGAATATTTTATGTCTTCAGAATTTTTGGTGGAATCAATTTTTAAATGTATCCTGTTTAATCACATTTAAAATACATTTCATGCCCAGCCAGGTGTGGCTTAGTGGTTGAGCATTGTCCCAATTCCGGTCAGGGCATATGCCCGGGTTGAGGACTGGATCCCCTGTAAGGGGTGTGCCGATCAATGATTCTCATCATCAATGTTTCTATCTCTCTCTCTCCCTTCTTCTCTGAAATTAATGAAAAATATATTTTAAAAATTTTAATAAATAAAATACATTTAATATAAAGTAGAAAGCAGAACAATTACCTTTAAAATTGGGTCTGATTCTTGCATCATATCCTGATGTCCTCCCCATTAATTTATCCAGGAAGTCAGAAGGTGACATTGGAGCACTTCTAGATCTTGCACTATCTGTTTCCTTTGTTGCAACCAAACTAAAAATAACAATAAGAAAAAACACTCCATAGATTTTAACAACAACAAAATCTTCCTAATAATTGTTACCTACAAATATAAAATTAATATGCTAAGCAAACATACTTCTGAAAACAAAAAGGAAAGCTTTACATACTAGTCAATGAGTGTGATCATAATGACAGGTAGGTATTTTAAGTTTACAGTTAGTATTTATAAGGTTTCATAAGTTTTTAGCCCAAGGGTCAGAGGTAATAATATTTTCTGTTGAGCCTAAAAACAACCACAAATTAGGCTTTCAAACTTTGCATGTACCCAAGTCTGATTTCTGATTGCAATGGTTAGCTAAAAGTATCCTTAATGATTCAGGCACCGGAAAGTACAAAAATTCATCTGTGCAATAAAATTCTTACTGCTTTTATTGAGGGGGTTGGGGGGATCACCCATATGATCTCATTTTACCTTAATTATTTCCCCAAAAAAGTCACATTCTGAGGTATTGGGGGTTCGGACTTCAACATACAAACTTTGGAAATTTAGCCTATGACACTGGGCATGCTCACATGTGTGTGACCCTGAAGATGCCCAGGAATATATGGAACTTTTCCAAACCTCTAAGGACCTATTATTCCCTGGCTTTCTCTTTTAAGCTTTTTACTTAGTCTGTTGTTTGACTCCACTAATACCCTCCAGTAACTGTGAAGTAAAAAAAATCTGCCTCTTTATGTTTGACAAACATTCCTAGGAAAAACTTTTCTCACTGAGTAAGTACTCTCTAAGTTAGCTCAAATAAAAGCAGTCTTACAAAGTGGAGTCTTCCAGAAAACCTCACACAAGTCAAATAACAATCCTTCAAGAATGAGGCTTTAAAGGAGTTCAAACTCCATTCTGCCCCTCTCGGAGCTTTCTTATAGCGATTGTTGGCTATTGGTTTGCAATTCTCCCTTGAAGCCTGAGAAGGGGGCACAAGCATAAGGTAAGTTATAATGAAACAACTATCACTGTTCTGACCAAGATTCAGATGTTTTTCTTGATTATATTATTTCGTGGGTTTTTGCAAATCTCTGATTCATTGCCAAAGCTCTAAAAAAGTTGGTTGTCACATTTTTGGAAAGTTTTCTTACTGCTTTTATGGAGGACAGAATTTATAGAAGTCCATTGTTTTTGCTGACGTCACCACTCAATCGATGTCTTCGTAGACTTCTTTTTATGGTCATTTTATTATATCTGTGCTTTAAAGACCCACAAGCTTCCGTGGCATCCTGGAGTTGCCCCTCTTCTCTCTCTCTGGATAATTGTATTTACTCCCATGGTATCAGCTACCTCCCATATGCTATTTTGTAGAAACTAAATATCATTTCTCATAAATAGTGTTACTATTTGCTTTTAAAACAAAGGATACAGGTTTACCTTTGGGTTTCCCCATAATGAACCCTATTACTAAGCACTATTTGTTTGCTCTAACATCTCAAATTATTTTAATAATTATATAACAAAACAAGATTATTATTGTTTCAGTAAGATTAAAGAATTGTTGATCCTTTTAAGGTTAATAATTTATTATTACTATTAATCTTTTTGGTCTTCATTTCTTTTGATATATTCAAAAAAAATATTTGAGCTACTACAATAATCATGCCCTGCTGAAATTTGATTTGAAATTGGTTCTGTTTAAAAGTTTTTAATAATTTAATTGTAGTTGACATTCAATATTTTGTAAGTTTCATGTGTATAGCACATAGTGGTTAGATGTTTATGTAATTTATAAAGTGATCCCCCAATAAGTCTAGTACTCACCTGACACCATACATAATTACTACAGTATTATTGACTAACTTCCCTATGCTGTACTTTACATCCTAATGATTATTTTGTAGCTGCCAAGTTTTACTTCCTAATCCCTTCACCTTTTCTACCCAACTCCTCAACTCCCCTCACATCGGGCAACCATTAGTCTCTATATTTATGAATATTTAACATTGGTACTTTTAAAATTCCATTTGAATTATGCTTTTAGTGCCAAAAATATGTGTCCAATTATATTATGCAAAGATCATGACACTGATTCACTAGCAATGGAAATATATAAAAATTAATTTTATAGGAGACTAGAATCTTACAACTAGAAGCTCACTCCTTTATTCATTTAACAACTATTATTACCATATTGCTTCCAAAGAATCTAAATCATGTCTCTAATAATTCAAAAAAGAAGGGATAATATCTATAAACATATATATAATATGTATTTAATCTTCTTAAAGGTTAAATAAATGTTAAATAACTTTTTAAAGGTTATTATAAAACCTTTTAATGCTTATGAAATAGTTTCCCACTAAAAATAAAAATTGTCATTGTTTATACAATTAGTAATTAAAATAAGCTGATGGAAAGAAAACACAACCCTTATCACTACCATAGTCAAGGATAAAAGATATATATTTACTATATATAGTAAATAATCTTAGAAAAGCAAGCTATTTCATTTCATACCACAAAATCTATTAAAATTATGTACTTTCTATAATAAATGCTATATATTTTACAATAAAATATAGTATTATTTTTTATTTTAATACTAAAATAAAAATTATTACACATTTATATGAAACAAAAAATTATTATTCTTTTGGCATGGTACTTAAAATTAATAAAATTACAAGTATAATTTGATCATTGAGTTGAAGGAACACATGAAATACACATTGGACTGGGATAGAATGAAGATAGGTACATGTATTTTTAAAATACAATACACAAATTTTTATAAGTCTTTTGTGAACTGAGAGACATTCACTAAAAATAAAATCATAGTGTTTTCATAATATAAAAGTATTTTTTATCACATGAAAATGCATTTAAATGTCTGTTAAATGTTGAAACAATAAATTAAGGTGAAGAGATTAAACAAAGAACAGGTATGAATAACCCATATACACAGATAATAGTGTGGTGAGGGCCAGAGGGAAGGGGGTGAAGGATGGGTAGAGGTGGGCAAACATAGGGGAAATAGGGAAATATGTAATAGTGTCAACAATAAAAACAAGCTTTATACAAATTAAAGTTTAAAAAAAAAAACAATGCATTTTGAGTTCTCATATAATTTATTCCATGCAAAGCACTGTACTAAGAACACAATCTCAACATTTAAAGTGTTCACAGTTTAATAGATGTCTCAGTCTAGACTCATCTGGGGTCTACAGGGAGTCCTTGGAAAGTATCCATGAGCTGGAGCTGGGCAGTGAGATTACAGTGAAGATAATGATTGGCCAGCTCCCTTCTTTCTATCTGTGTGTGTGAGCAAAATCTTCACGTTTTGTAAGATGGATTCACCACTAAGCTCTGCAGAATGATCCCTATCAAAAATGAGAAAATTCTGAGCAGAAAACTATTCTAATAGTCTTTATAAGTTGTGTTCCCTTCAATCACACAGAGCCATCCAACTGCTTCTGGACAATTGACTTTATTTCTGAAGATTCATAATTTTGACACAAAATGACTTATTGTCAGCAAAACAACACTGAGTAATTAATCAGCATTTCTACATAGTCTCTCCCTTCTTCTTCTGAAAGGGATAGAGGGCGTGCATATGGAAAAAATTTCCATTACCTACAACCTTTGCTCTGGTATATTTCTCCTAGAGCTTTCTTCCTATTTATCTGAGATCTGCACCAAGTGATCATTGCTAGACAATCTTCAGAGAACCATAGTGATTTAAGAGAACTCATAGTAAGTCATACATAATGTGAAACTCTATATATATAAGACCAATCTGGAATTGTTTTTTAATTTTTAAGTAGTCCACATCATCTGTACATACATATTCAAACACTTCATTTTATGTTGTGTTTTGTTTTTGTTTTTGTTTTTACTTTATTGAATTTATTGGGGTAATACTGGTTAACAATGCTATATAAGTTTCAGGTACATGATTCCACAACATATCAGCTGTACATTGTATGGTGTGTTAAATTGTTAAAATTCAGCATAGGAGGAGGCAGTTGGGAAAAAAAAAAAAAAGTAAAATAATTTAGAATGGATTTTGGATAAGAAACTTTGCCATCAAGTCCATTTTTTATCTAAACCCTCTAGTTTTAACAAAACTCATTATATTTATAGCAAGTTACTTTTGAAAAAGGCAGACTTGAATGTTTAAAAAGTCCTTTATTTAAGAAAATCTCAAAATCTGTTATAATTTGCCTGCCTCCCACACTTGGCTCTTCTTTTATATGCTATATCAAACATGAATTTACTATTAACTTTTTTTTGAAACTGTGTGTGGGCTTAAACACATTCCCATCAATGAACTTTTGTTTTAAGTATTTTTATTCTTTTTTATAAAGACAAGCTACATGAAAGTTCAGAGATTTCATTTACTAAGAGGCTAGCATAAACCTATTTTCTGAAGCATTAAAATCAAACATCACAATTTATCAAAAAAGGTAAGTTCCTTCTCACTTCTCTTCTCTTCCTTCCTCATCAATGAGACAAAGAGGTAAAATAAATCTACTTTTGGAGGACTGAAATAACCACTAAATATGGATGCTTTTATGATAAATCCTATATAATAAAAGCCTAATATGCTATGTCCAGTCATCCAGTCGGCCATTCAACCAATCAAAGCATAATATGCTAATGATATGCCAAGGCTGCTCAACCATTCACTATGCCGTGCACTGACCACCAGGGGGAAAACTCTCTGACCGATAGGTTAGCTTGCTGCTGGGGTCTGGCCAATTGGGACTGAGCAAGACAGGTCAGACACACACTGGAGCCCTCCCTTGGTCCTTCTCTGGCTAGCCAACTCTGCCCCCCTCCCAATATCCCTCCTCGGCCCTGATTGTGCACCAATGGGGTCCCTCGGCCTGGCCTGCACCCTTTCACAATCTGGGACCCCTCAGGGGATATAGGAGAGCCAGTTTCAGCCCAATCCCTGCAGGCCAGGCTGAGGGATCCCACTGGTGCACAAATTTGTGCTCCACACCTCTAGTTTAATATAATTGTCAATACCTATTTACCT